TAACTTACTTTTTTTTTTTTTTTACTGCATGTCATGCGCGGGCCTCCGTAGTTCTTTTTTGGCAATGCTGTAAAACCCCATTATTTTTAAGCGTGTACCCGGATGAATCTTGCAAGAATATGTCAAGGATGCAGTTTTCTTGGAATAAAAGCATTTGCCAAAAGCAAGAATCAAAATATGACCATTTCTAAAGGTTGTGTGAGATTCACCCCCACTTTATCTAATGCACAACATCTTTCACATTTCAGTCTTTTAGTTGAGAACCTAAAAAAAGGAAGTAGAAAAACAACCGAGATGCTTTAAATTCGCTTCTTCAAAACAACATTAAAGACACCTATTCTATACACTCAGATTTCTTCCTCTTCATCAAGTGCAACTATCTTTTACTACTTAATTTTCTTCAGAGTCAGACAGCTTGCATTGGTTTTCAGGCTTGCAGCCCTCAGGTTTTTTTTTGTTTATGACCTGGCAGGAGCTGTTCATAGAGCAGGGCAGACAGTCTTGGTGTACGGAAGTGAAGCTTTGGCGCCTCGACTTCTGCAAGCTGCTTTGGCGTTGACGACCACTCTGTTTGAATAAACTAAAAGTCCTTCGATGTGGCGCTCTACGGATGATGGCCTTGCGGAAAGTCTCTCCTGCGAAGTAGTACAACAAGGGATTGAAGCAACTGTTGGACGCCGCCATGCACAACGAGATGACCAGACCTTTTAGGAGGAACTCAATGACCTGGCAGTTCTTCTCTAAAACCTTGGCATGAAGATGGACCGTGCGAGCGACGTGATATGGTAGGAAACACAGCAGGAATGTGCTCAGGACAACGGCGATCATATACACAGCGCGTCGGCGGGTGTTCATCGTTTGACTATATTCTCCTTTGATGAGTTTGCAGATTATGCAGCCGTAGCAGATGAGAATGATGAAGAACGGAATGACAAATCCAAACAAAACCCCCACATAGTTCAAGATAAATATGCGTTTCCATGACTTGTTGTTCCCCGGTTCAAAGCAGCGCGTCTTTTCATCCCGCATTGAAGTACCTGACATGAGGAAAGGCGTTGACAAGCAGGCCACAAAAATCCAGATCGCAAAGCATGATAGACTGGCTCTCCGCATCGTAACCAGAGACTTGTTGCGAAAGGGTTGAACTACGGCAATGTACCGTAATATGCTAAGGCCTGTAAGAAACAATACACTTGTATACAGGTTGACGTAAAAGGAAAATACACACCAGCGGCAAAACCAGTCTGGAAAATCCCACTGACCGCCCCTAAAAAAGTAGACCAGACGGAAGGGCAACGTCAAGGAGAAGCCAACATCTGAAATAGCCAAGTTAGTCATAAATACAGTGTTGGCCGACTTCTCTGGAGTGCGGCACAGGAACACAAACAAAGCCACAGAGTTGCTGATAAATCCAATAGGGAATACGACACTGTACGTGACTTTGTATGCCAAATATTTGAAATCTTCACTTTCCTCACAAGTCTGATTCATGTTAGGTTCTTGGATGACGTTGAGCCAAGATGGAGTTACCTCATGTGTGAACACAGGAGCTGGAGGCAAAAAGATTAACAATTAGTAATCAAACAATTGTGTTGCAGTCAGAAAAAGCACAGTCACAACACGCTTTAAGCATGCAAAATTACTGCATATTCTGGAACGATTACCAGCTACAAGATAAGATGCCTAGGGCTTCTGGTTTTAATAGTTAATAAAACACAAATAATAATGAATAAATTCTGATTGTTCAAATCTCCTTCAGCAAACGTTATTGAGGCAAGAGGTCAATCTGTACTGGTCAAGCACCTTTCGGCTATGCAAATGTGCAGGTCACCCTACTTGAACGGTTGTATGTAGTAAATTTGACTAAAAACCCTTTGCATGTGCTTGCATTTTTGCTCTGAATGGATGGGAGTCTGGTGTGGCCACACCATAAAAGACTGAACATGCTGATAAAGAAATGACATTAGAAAGTGATTAATACTACAGTCAAGCCATTGCTCAACAATAGCTTACTAAACCAGGAAAAAGACGGGTTTTATTTAAAACGGGTTTAAAAACTCCCCTTGGTTTTCAGGTTAAAAATGTACATTGCCATAGAGGCTTAATACACAGACAGCAGGGTAGCATAAATATAATATGCTTTACTTCATCTAGAACTATTTAAAACAAAAAAAAATCTGATCTTGCATCATTTTTATGCAGTTTTATATTTAATAGAGTTTATATTAATTTTCTATTTAATAATTTATTATTTGAATATTAAAATCCATTTGTTGTATAAGTGAACTGCAAGGGGATTAAAAGTATTATTATGATTATTATCATTTAAAGAAAAAGGAAATATAATACTTTTTATTTATGTGTTTATATATCCTCCTGAGAACCAGGAAAAAAACGTTTTGTGAATTATATTTTTTATGTCATAACATTGGTTGGAGCATAAGAAACGAATGGAGAAAAAACATTTTTGAAAAAGATATTTTATTCATAGATAGAAATTATAATTTTATTAATCAAATCTGCGTTCGAGCTGCCGCTAACCAGAGAGAGCATTTATATGAAACATCTTTACAAAGTCTTTTGTATCGTTATTTCTGTGTTCCAAACATTCAAATCAGATCTGCTAAATCTCTGTCAATGTTTAAGAAACTGCTGAAAGCTCACTTTGGGGTGGCAGCTTATGTGAGTTAAATTATATAGGAGATTATTTGTGATTGTTAGATTGGTCAGTATATGTGTGGGATGGTGTTTTGGTTGTTCGCTTTTATGTAAAGCACTGTGGGTAACCCTTGGGGTTCTTTTAGTAGTGCTATATAAATAAATAAACCAAACCAAATAATCACAGAAGTACTGGAATAAAAGTTTATAGTTCGGATATAAACACTGCTGTCTACAGAAGCGATCAAAATAGAATAAGTCACCTTTTTGAAAGTGACAATGCTTCAAATATAAATTGTCATTTGTGGCCCTTCACATTTTATGTAGTTTTAATGCACTATATAAAAAGCAGGGGTACTCTGAACTTGAGTACCCCTGCTTTAATATATAGCCTACCATAGTACTGAAATTAGTAGTATTTAAAGGGGTCATATGATGCGATTTCAAGTTTTCCTTTCCGTTGAAAAAATGTTGATTCATTCAGGAATGAAACAAGTGAAGTCTTTATGAGCAAGTTATGAGCTATGAATCATTTGTTTAACTTTTTTTAATCAATTTGTTGAATATTTTATTCTATAAATTGACTGCAGCAATTTTTACTAGAAACTCTAGTAAATTACATGTTATTTTGTTTAGTTCTCTGTTTTTTTTTTCAGAATTGTGGGAAAATAGTGATATCTATTTAAAAAAATAAAATATTGATACAATATAGTTAATATAAATATGAAAAATAATACTTCTTTCTAAAGAATTTTGTGAACTATATTTGCTCAAGAATGTTTTAGTTTGAGCATTTTGAGTTTGTTTTGAGTATGAATGCATTTTTTGCATCAATATAGCAAAACTAACTTTTAATCCAATTTTTTGTTCCAGATTTTTACTCTTAAAAGAGATATCGATATCTATAAATATCCATATATATCTATATTGAACATTAAAGCATGTCAACATATTCTGTTACACCAAATACACAAAATAATGATCTTTAAAAAAGCATCATATGACCCCTTTAAGGTTCTTCTAAGAATACCCTGGTACTTCCATAGTGCAAATCCAAAATAAAGTTTTTGGACACCATATTTTCTTAAGCATATTGGATGTCAAAGAAGTACCACTGTACAAAAACGTAAAAATAAATACTATTGAACGGACCATTGGAAGTAGGCTACCTTGTAAATTAGCCTAATTTCAGAACTATAAAGGCTATCATACGTTCACTGTACTTTTTGTATTTTTAAAATTAATATCAAAATATAAAGCTCAGTGTGACTCATAATGAGACTTTGGCTGGAGTTTTACTCACCTGTCATTCTCTCTTGACCATCATCCTTCTCCTCTTCAGCGGACTGATGAATCCGGACGCGTTAAGATTTCTGATTTCTGTTATGTAACAAAATGTCAAAATGTTCCTTTCTCGTCAGTTTCAAGTGTCTGCTTCCTTTATAAAGGTCTTGAAGAGTGCTGCCTCTGTACTCGGGTGTCCCATATTGATTCCAGCGCCGCGTTATAGCACGAAGTACACCTTACTCTCCAATAGTAGTCGCCTTGGCGAAAGAAAGTAATGTCCGAATCTTTTTTAGAATCGCTTGCGTTCAGTGATTCAAACGAACCGATTCGCACAACGTTTTATTCGACTGCAGAGATGTGAAACAAACTACACAGCATTTGACGCTAGATTATAACCTAATTGAAAGCAAAGTGGTAAACAGGTTCACTAAACACAAAAATAAACGTAAACTTTGACTTCTGGGTTTTTTTTTTGGATAATGTTTTATGGGGTTCATACATTAACCGTTCAAACGATTCGAACTCCTTAAAGAATTCAAGAGAAACCACACCTTCAGCTGTTTTTTTTCTTTCTTTTGGTAGTTTCTCTGAGCAGGTTTGATAACGTGCTATGTGTAATTCATATGAAGAGTAAATATTTTTGAATAATGTTTCGAAATGTTTTATGGGGCTCGTATAGGCTATAAACCGTTCAAACGATTCGATACAACTCCCTAAACAATTCAAGAGAAGCCACACCTTCAGGTGTGTTTTTTTTTCTTTCTTTTGGTAGTTTCTATGAGCAGGTGTGATAAAGTGTTATGCGTAATTCATATGAGGAGTAATTACAATAGTAATTAAAATAACTCTTTGCACCAAGCATGGCATTTCTAA